TTATAATCAGACATCTTCTTGGTTAATATCAAAGAGCTTGCCACTAAATTATTTAAAAAACACAAGTAAATAAAAATATGTTATTCAAAGGGAATCAAATACAATGTAGGCTCTGAAAAGTTGGGATGTCAGCCACACCATTAACATAAAAGATATTAGTCAAATAAATGTTCGGAAGGTTAAACAATGGCATAGATGGATGATGACTGGCACACATTGACTGCAAAACAATTGTCGTTATGTTTACTGAAACAAAAAATAAGCTACCTTAACATCTCACAAGGAAAACTATTACGTTTACCAAAACAAATCGTACTACACTAGGACCGAGTTGGTAAGATATATTGAAGGGAATTATATTAAGCAATTAGAATAGCTGTGTATTATTATACACTAGTGAAAATTTATAATACGAAGGTTAATGCAAGAAGGGGGATTCTGGGCGTGGGGTCCAGGGGCCGCCAAAGGGCCCTGGTGGGGTCAAGGGGCGAAGCCCCTCTTGGGGCCCAGGGCGAAGCGCCCGAAGCCAGAGCATTTATACGATTTTAAAAGCATGTACATGTCATTTAAATGCATGTTCATGTATATTTACTCTAAATACTGTACTTCTTACACAATTTTAAAAATAAGATAAGAAGACTACTTTTTCCAATACAGGATTTAGAACATAAATGTTTATTGTGAAACAAACTTTTTTTTATTAAATGTTGAGCGCCTAAACTTTTGTGATGACGTCGTGCCAAAGTAAATAAACGGAGCACGCGATTGGTCAAATAGCCTAGGCAACAAACCTCTCATTAATATTCATTTTGAAGTCTTGCTGGTTACGTCATTCAGCTGGCTGCAGCTTTGTTTTGATTTCTACGATCGGACTACGATCGACAGCGACAAATAAACAGTGCCAAAAATGCTCCCATTTTGTAATAAATTGCACTATTTTGGAAACGGGGGATCGTTTTCTGGCTAAGGGGGTTTGCTGGCAAAAGGGGGTTTGCTGAAAAAGGGGGTTCACCCGAACCCCTAAAAACTCCCGTGGCTACGGGCCTGAATGAGATAAAAGACAAAATAGCTTTCGCCGATTTAGACGTTTTTGTCTACAAATATCTTTCATATATAGAATTTTTCTTAAATTATTAAACATAGCAAAAGTACTGATTTACCTTCGCACATGAACGTGTTTTCAACAAGACGATATCCTTCATTACAATAACACATATAGTAAGGTGATGTATTGTTGCAACCACCATTTGTCAAATCACAGTCATTACTTCCAGAACACTCGTCAATGTCTGTACAAAAAATATACATTAAGATAATTGTATATTTCATTTTTGGAATAAAATAATTTTAAAATGCAGATTCAATTTCGATATGTAGGCCTAAGATTTATTCTACTCCGATTATAACATAACTAAATTAACTGGTAAATTTAATGTTGCTTTCCTATAAACGCCATTGTTTTTAATTGTTCTAACTTATTTTCTTCTTCTATCTATTTTCCTTTGCACAGTGGTATTCTGTCTGGCACTTTGGTCACTTCTCATGCTTCGACCTTCTTCAAACTTTCTTCATGCAAAGACCATATACAAAAGATATGCATCTTAAACTATGATGTCATTCTACCTTCTTTCCTCCATGATTTTATATATTTTAAATATTAATAAACAGGTAATTAAACTTCTATGTTAGTTATTTTCTACAATGCAAGTGTTTACATAGGCTATAATATGTTTACGCTGTCATTTTGACGGACTTCAGTAACCATATTGAAGGGAGGGGCTTAGAATAATGATTGATTATATTTTAAGCTCTGGAAGCATGTGCTCGATTGATTTGTATTCTTACCCATACATGAAGTGGCATTTTCAGGTTCAAACCCATTTGCACATCGGCACACTTCATTATTATCACTGTCAACATAGCAGTCTCCATTATTACACATTGTAGTAGAGCAGTCTGTTGCGGCTACATGAATTTAACAATTTAAGAAAACAAACTTAAAAACTTGAACACAATACATACATACAATCAAGATTGAATTTTTTAAAAATATTTATTTTGGTATAAAATGTAAAAAATGATAGCACAAGGCTAAAACTATTACAATAAACTGATTAAAAAAAATAATGTACATTAAAATACTATTAACAATTACAAAAAATACAATTACAAAATGAAACCTATTTACTAAAGCATTACCTTGCGGGAGTTAAAGTATCGTTACTACAATAATCTTATAATAGGCCTATATGATGGTGATGATAATAATAATAGTAAATAATCTAATGTATGTTTAGTTAAATAAGCCAACATAGTTAAATATAGAACAGGTTAAAATATTTAATATATAGACACTGAAAAGTATGGTACAATAAAGATGGACCAGGTGAGAAGAGTCGATTAGGATTAATAGTTGATAATTATAATACTAATAATAATTGTTAATAATTAATTTTAAAATTATATATACTGCATTCATAAATGAGATCATATCATGATGGGATGTTATACAATAAACGTGACACAGGCTTTGGAGAGGTGGTGGTTAATGGCAGCAGAACATACCTCAACCATAAACTTACCAGCACATGTTACGGTATCATTCTGCAGTTCAAATCCACTGTCACAACTGCATTCAAAACTGCCATCAATGTTTGTACAATTTTGATCACAATTGTCTGTATTTATACTGCATTCATCGATATCTGAATTAATTATTTTAAAAAGTGAGAAAAAAGATCTAACAATTTGCATAATAAATAGGATGTCGAATGCATATTAAGTAACAGCATACAATATGTCTTTATTGTTTGACTCAAACAAGAGACAAGTGGGACCACACTATCAAATTTGATGTGACAAACAGCTGTGATATGCCCACATTTGGGTGTAATATGACATAAATCCATCACACAAATTTGTCAAGTAAAATGTGATAGTAATGACAGTGCTTAACATGGTCGACTGTAATAAAATCAAATAACTGATAAGCACAAGTATGTTGGTGTTGGAATGAATAACATTCACTTCTTCAGACTAACCACAAACTCGGCCCAATCACACTCGAATCTCAACATAATCCTTCCAGTAGGAAAGACAAAATCTAAGTGGGCTCAACACTGGTCCGAGATATGTTGGGCCGAGTTATCGTTGATCTGTAACACTGGTAAAATTTCCCCAAATTATCAGTGAATCCACCATCTGAAATACTGTTCATGTTTTATCAAAAGTTTATCGTTCCGTAATATGTTTATTTGGAATTAGTATTTAAGCTAAAAAATGAAACTACAACAGTTATATGTGAGAGTAAAAATAGGTTAGGGTCTATAGAGTAGCAGCGATGGAGTTAAAAAAAAAAAAACTAAAGACAACGGCAATCTACTTTGTGGATCCAATAGAATTATTACTTCACTAACTAGAGAAACACAATGACTCACTTTTTCCCAATGCCATTAATACGGTGGATGAGAGAATCTTAAGACATAAAATGAAACTTGATACAAGTAAATATATATTTCTAAAAAAAAATCATATGAGTTAATATTTAATTTTTCTTACATTATGTGAGTCTCGTCTTCCTTTTTCTTTGTTGTAATAAATTTGATCCTTATTTCTTATTTTTTCTCACTTTTTTTGGTATTATGATTGTTAAAAACATCAAGAAATATCTTATTGTATTTTCTACATAAGACTTACCAGTGCACACAATGCCTCCTATGTATCCTGATGGACATTCACACGTGTAAGAAGAAAATGTATTGTTGCAGTTTGCCAGATCATCACATGGGCTGTTTGTGCATTCATCAACATCTAAAATTGTAGGTAAACAAGATCCTCAGCAAAAACATAGAACATAAAAGATCATAAAAAGTTAAAATACGTCATGCCCTTAGTTACGGTACGCCATGGAAGTGCGCCAGCAGAAAAAAAAACATAGTGGTAGTAGAAATAATTTGCCTGCTCCAACTTCCTACAGAAATACTGTTTAAAACCTCAAATAGAAGCCCATATGAATTGCAGCCTCCCTCTTTAATTTGCAAAAGTAGTCTCGAAAAGAAGCCCATCTTGTTGCTTCTTTTAAGATAGCGTGGGCTTTTTTTTGAGATAGTACGGTATATACACTGTACATGAATTTTAAAGCAACAAAATAAATTAAATACAGTAGTTTACTGTAGGCGATTTAATACCAGATAATAACTGCATGATACAGATTGCTGTCACAGTGGCCCTATTTATTGTTGTATAGTAGTAACTCCCGAAATTTAAAGCATTCATTTTGAAAAGATTCCCCCTCTTTACTTTCCAAAAGTTGTCTCAAAAAGAAGCCCATCTCGAAATGAAGCCCATCCAAAGTTTGCAAAAAAAAAAAAGAAAAGAAAAGCCCAGGGTTTTACGGTATAATATGTACACTACATTTAATGTTCATTTTTGGATTCCTCATAATCAATGAAAATTACAAACAACTGTATGTATTGTTTTTATTACATTTGTCTTTTTTTGGATAGAAGTAGTTTGAAAAACCTTGGCAACCAAGTTATCTAGAATCTTGTTGATTGTCGAAAAAGTAGAAATTCAAAACTAGTTTTCAAAATTATTTCTACATTGGTTTTGGAGAGATTAACCAAGCTTTTTAAATGAGTGATGTATTACAATGTTACAACATTGTTTTAGATGAGTCACATGTTACAATGTTGTAACATGATTCAACCTAGTGACATGTGGCTACCATAAATTATTTAGTGTCATAGAAAAAATGTATACATACCTATACAGGTGCCATTACCATCATCTATCAAACCACTCTTACACCTGCATTCAAATGAACCAAGTAGGTCGACACAGTTTGTTACATCTAAGGTGCAGTTATTTTCCCCTGTAGCGCATTCATCCACATCTACATCGATAAAATGATAATCATACTCAAGCATTGATATGCAGAGCAGTGGCAAAGGGACTGCACAACACTAGTTAAAAATGTTGTACTGCATACAGCTACATAACTGTAAAACACATTATTGAATCTAAAAGAAAACCTCTAATATGAACAAATCATGTCATATAATACTTAGATAACATATAATGCTACTCACTTTCGCAAGATCGACCATTTCCAACATATCCGGGTTGGCAAAGGCAAGTAAAGCTACCCATCGTGTTACTACAAATAGCACCAGCGCTGCAGCTTGCTGACTGAGTCATACATTCATCGACATCCTTGCAGTACGTTCCATTTCCTTCGTAACCACTGTCACAAATACATTTATAAGATCCAAGTGTGTTGGCACATTCTGCATTATCGTGGCAATTATCCATATTCTGACTGCATTCATCGATGTCGGAGCAGGTCTTTCCCGTTCCCAGGTAACCTGCCATGCAGGTGCATATGAATGAACCTTCAGTATTATCACAGGATGCAATGTCACTACAGGGATACTCCTCTAAAATACATTCATTAATATCTGTTAAGATAAAATTCAAATTAATCACATTAGATTCGAACACAAGATCCTCTGACTACAATAAAGCCCTGTCCACAAAAAACTGTTGTATGCCCATATATAGTCATGATGTGCCTATATATGGTCATGATGTGATGTCATCATGACCATATTTACGCATGTCATGTTTTCGTCAAACAAAATGTGATAATCTGAACCTAGTTACCTCTAGTTCACTATTTAGTAGGTTTTGAAGTAGGCTTAATATTGTAACAGAAATAATAATAATAATAATAATAAAAATAATATTAATAATAATAATAATAATTAAAAAAAAAAATAATAATAATAATAATAATAATCATAAATTATTCTGATGGTGTTTCAGTCAAGGGATTAGTAATAAATATGTCTTTTTAAATTAAAAATTAAAAAACTTTGTAATGAGTAAAATTTTACTATTTACTAGTAAAATAAAAATGTTCAGTTTCATTGAACTGTATGTATTTACCAACACACTCCGTTCCATCTCCATTGATATCATCATAGCCACTTCTACAAGTACAATTATAACCACCGTCAAAATTAGTACAGTCAGCATTCTCACTGCAGTCATTATTCTGTAAACATTCATTTATATCTGAAAAAAATCAAAACAAAATATAGATATCGACATGAAATGTAAATACTAGTACTCATTTCCAATATTTTGAGTATCATGCACAAGACACCAGAAATATAATTATAAATAATCTGCCACGAAAACAAAATAGTAATAGTATACACCAAAAGTTCCAGAAAGAATAATCTCACAAAATGGAAAACAGTGGCTGTTAACCGCAAGGAATATAACCAAAGCTTTCGAGCAAAACTACTGTAGTTTTTTGTCATTGGCAAGAAACGTAGAAAATAAATATATATGAACATAAGAATAACAGGTACTGACCTCTGCATGTCCTCATATCATTTTGTAGTTCGTAGCCTGGGTTACAGCTGCAGACATATGACCCTAAGGTGTTGGTACACACATGCTCACATCCATCGCTTTCATCAAGACACTCATCAAAGTCTGTTATACGAATAATTAATTACTTTAGCGATAAATTTGACTGGCTTTATCAAGGAAGCGATGGAGGAAAACAAAATACATATTGTTGTAAGACCAGTTTTAAAACTTTGTTCCAACAAAATATATATGAACTAAGCAACAAACAAATATAATGGGCTATAACATTCAAGCGACAAATGAAGACGACATGTTGTAGGTAAGTGTTTTTATGGTGTCATTTGCCTGTTGTTTGTATAATTTGTATTTGGTACAATGAAATAAATGAGAAAGGAAAAATCGAACAAACTGATGGACTGAAGAACGAATAAATAAACGCCAAATAACAACATGGAATAGGCGATTTAGCGATAGCATTGCGAGTCGAGTTGCCGAGTGGTTAAGTCAGGGCACCGCAACGTACAGCCATATCGGCGCTGGTAGGAATGGCCCAGTGTACACAATTGACTCATGTAAACCAGTGCATCTTTCAAGATGAGTAGAGGGTTACTCCGGCGTGGTTATGAATCGTAATAACACTTTTGTTGCAAACAAAGTACTTTTGATACAATGGTTTGTAAGAGTACATAATAATTATAAAATGAATAATAACCATAGCATTTGAATCCGTCACCAACTAACCCCTCCGGGCAACTGTCACATGTTGCATTGGGATCAGGAGCTGGGTTATCCGTGCAGAGAACTGTAGGATAACATGGGCTATCGAGGCAGGCATTGAAGTCTTCACTGCAATCTACTCCTGTCCAGGCTGCTGGGCAATTGCAAGCCACAACCTATGAAACAAAATAAAATGATGAAGTAAATTTAGCAATTTGACATGTTGTGTTTCAGCAAACAAATAGATAGGGTTTCCTTTATATGTAATTCTTTAAAGATCATGTTTTTAAAGCATCCGCTTGGAGGCATTATTTTAGCTGGCAGAAATTAATTCAACCGCTGAAAAAAGATTAATTTACAAAAGAACTAGACAAAATGTGTCATAAGAATTACAACCAATCTACATGCTCAAATGTATTGTATTAATGCTGTATATACAACTTAACCAAAATAGTAATAAATATTATTTATACTTTATCAAAATAAAAACTTAGTTACAAGTTAGAAAAATTGTAAATGTAGTGTCACAACTTTCTATTTTAAAAAACACAATGTTGTAAATTAAGTATTTCCTTTTAGAATTGTTGAATAGTTAGTTAAGAAGTTGTGAATGTGTTATAAAAAAAATAAATTAATACGGAATGAATCTCAAAATTTAAATAGAGGTAAAATAAAATTAATAGATCTACTAACAGCAAACATGTTATCCAACACTTCACTTCCTTCCACCAGTGTATCGAAGTTACAGATTCCACCGTTTTCGCATCTACAAATGCGTACGTCAAACACTTCTGCACTATTGGCTAAGCCATCAGAGGCTACTATACCAAGATTGACCTCATTGGTGTCTGCTGGGGTCCTGTCTCTTATACACATCTAGATGTGTATAAGAGACAGGTTGTATAGNNNNGTAATAATTGTATTGTATTATTATTGTAATTTATAATTATTATCAATATATTATTATAACATCAATAATTATTAGCAGTATCATTTTCAATTAAGTTATATTAGTGATTTTTATTTTATTGTTAACACAAAGGTGATGGATACAAAACATAAAATAAATGAATTTTATAATATAATAAAATAATATAATTATCACTAATCAAATAATAATAATAATAATAATAATAATAATAATAATGTAAACTCACTCGTTGGATCAACTGCAGCTCCACCAATCGGATTTAAAAGAGAGTAAGTAATTGTATCATTGTTCTCATCATATGCCTGGACTTGGAACGAATATGTAAGGCCAACTTGAACCATCAACATATTAGTGCCATTCAATACATTGTCTGGATCAATTACACCGGTGATGTTTGGTGGAAAATTCACTGAAAAATGTACGAAAGAAAAATGTTGATATATGTTTTGTTCCTCGGTAGACCAGACCATGCATGTGAAGTTTTAGCAATTAAATAAGACGGGAAGGATATTACCTTGAAATAATAATGTGCATGAATTTGTGACACAAAGTAGTTACAATGAATATAATTAAAATTAACATTATGAAACCAAAGTTATATGAATTATGACTGTATGTAGTTTGTATAAAATAACAAGAAGTTGAAAAAAGAATGCGGCATGAACCCACAAAGACATAAATATTAAACCACTGTGTTCATAGTCACAACAGACCAGGAAAAGAAGGAAGAATGAAAAACATAATAAAAAAGCACTCAAATCGTGTCTATGAATGAACTAAAGAACAAAGAAAAAGCAAACATCAACTGAAACAAGAGGAAGGAAAGAAACCGACCCACCCACCCAATAAGATGAGAGGAAATGTCTGCAGCCCTACTTTATATCATGAACATATCTAGGGGGAGCCGTGAGAGCCGTGAGAACCTCTTTCGTACACAGTGTTAGTATTTTAAAGCTTCTTTTTGCTGGCCAATACAAATTCTTTCCTTGGATCACTCAAAATGAATTATTCAATTACAAAAATAAAAAGAAAAAAAACCCCAAAACCACAGAGTTTGATGAGGATTTAAATGCTGTACAATTTCTAATTTCATATTTTTGTGACCCGTGCTCTAGTAGAAACCCACAATAAACGTCTATTAATAAAAGTCACCCGCTACCCTGATAGTAACCCAGTGTTATATTCATTAGAATAAACTACATATAAACGATAATGCAAAGAATAACATTTTCAGGATTATATAACAGCTTTACCGTTCAGTGGGTGGATTTATCAAATTACTTAACAACAAAAAAATCAGCATAAATTTCGTCTTAAATCCATAAATCAAAGGCCAGATTTTTTAAGATACAGAAATGCGATAATGTATGGTTCAGTCTTGCTTTTATCTTTGCAAGCTTTTATATTGGTTTTCTTTAATACTACTACTACTGTAGTAGTAATAATAATAATGATGACGATAATGATGGTGATAATGATAACAGATACGGTAATAATATTGATAATATCAAAAAAGTAAAGAAAATTGTGGTAGAAGCGAAAAAGAAATTTGTAACATTATAATATTATTGTAGTTAAAGCTTGGTAAGCTATAGCTAGGCCTAAGTTGTTCTGGGTTACCTAAATCCCTGATAAAATATCATGGCATTTCATTACGACTATATAATGGTGATGTGATGACGATAAATTTTACTATATAAAGGTGCCATTTCCGGCCATCTAGAGGTATAATTTAGCCACATTTTTCTGGTTGTGGACTCACAACTTTGAAGTATGTAAATAAATTAGATCTCCATAGTTGCTGAAAGTCCCTTGATTTAATGATCATGTGAAAATTGTTTGCGCTTTATTTTGAATATAAATGAAGATATGATGATTATGAATTTTGCTATATATAGGTGTCACTTCTGGCCATCTAGAGGTACTATTTCCTCAAATTTTCGAGATTCATCACCAACCATGGTGGGGCTAAGGTGAGCCGGCCCTATGTCCGTGAAACTCCCTCACTGGGCCACCTCTCTTTCGAATTCCTGGATTCGCCACTGTTGAGTTATTATTATTATAATTATTGTTAGGCCTACTAATATTATTTATGATGTGTCTATTGAAATGTTCACTTTGTACCCTCAAAACAGTCCTAAAATGTCCAATGCGTTACCTCACAGGGGTCTTCGCCCTTGGACCCAACCGGCGGTCCTTGGAATAGGGTGGGGCAGTTCCGCCCAAACTCACCCCCCCCCACACAAGACAGCTCCCCTCCCCCTTTGAAAACCCTGGCTACGTCCCTACTTTATATATCAAAGAGCATTCATAACAAAATCATATGAATGCATTTTTACAAGCTTTGAGAATAGCTGGTACACCCGAAATCAGGAAGGAAGAAGCTAATGGTGATCAATTATCTATTATCTTCACAAGTGCAAAGAAGGTATGCGTTTTACGGCAAATTTGTGTAACTACAGTAGTTGGAAACGCAAAGGATAACGCAAATTGCGTTAACCTTATAGCTTAACAACAAGATAATTAATTTTAAAAAATTATAGAATTATGTAATATTCTACTAGGCACATCTTTGCTAAATGGGCTTTGCTTATATTGAGTTTGATGAAGGTTAAAACATGGGAAGCGACCAAGGTAAAGTGCATAAAGCTCCCTCTGCAAAAACATAGAGAAATGGGATAAAAGAAGAAAAGTGAGAAGAAAAACAATGAGAATATTAACAATGGCTTTCCGGCTGTTTAGAAGGGGGAAAAAAACCGGTCAGAACAAAAACAATCTCTTTTCTGCTGAAGCATGAAAATTCAAAATTTGTCTATATCAGTCTATGTCTATATCAAAACAAAACCTTTTCTGCTACAACGGAAAAAGTTTAAACAATGGGGTGAGGTTTGCAGTAGCGGGAAAGCCAATCGCAGTAGGCCTACATTGTTACTTACTCAGTGTATTTACATCTTCAATAATGACTTGATCAGTTAGAAGAGTGTTTGCACCAATGTTAGTGTCTTTGGTAGCCAGAGCATCAAACAGACATTCTTTGTTAGTCCCACAGACTTGGACAGCATTATTATACAATTCAGTATCTGTTTCTTTGGCTGTCCTGATTATATCATCTAGGAAGACTGGCATAAACGTCAAATCACTGAAGGAGGAGTATGATTCACTACCACTGTAAGTGAAAAGTGATTCTTCTTCCGTGATTCTCCCTATAGAAAAAATAAACAGTATACAATAACAATAATATAAAAAATAATAGAAAAAAACAATAAGAATCGTCAGACTGAGGTCGGGGGTTCTAAATTTAATCATCGTATTAAGTACAGATTTTCCTCGATTCACGGCAGATGTATCATCTCCCAGTGGTTTAGCATATACAGTACACGTTTAGCATTTCTAATTTCACGCCAATATACATGTTAGTGGTGTCTATTTCCTCACCGTACTTAACTTCCCTTTTTGTAAGGTACAGTATACATTATATATATATATATATATATATATATATATATGTATAAGGAGAATTTGCAATTGAACTTACCAGATTGCTTGATACCTATCATTATCATCATAATTATCATCATCATCATCATCATATCATTATAGTCTATTCCGTGAACACTTATATTATGATGATTATTGTCATCATAAAGACATTTACCTAACAATCCTTTGGCAGCTCCTTCATACTGAGCGTCAACTTGGAACATTATATTCAACATTCCTTCAGAAACAGCAACAGAAAATGATACTTCAGAGCTCCAGGAAGCAATGTAACGGTCCGTTCCATTTGAATTTATATACTCGCCATCAATTTTAGAAATAGTAAATGAAGTGTCCTCAGTACTTGCATATGTAACTAAACAAAACAACATAGAAACTTTATTTGAATATACATTCGCTATACAGAATATTATTATTTATTAATTATAAATGAAATAAATAAAATTGTATCCATGCTATACTTTGTACTTTGTATTAGTTTTCTATGCTTTTTAATTATATATTCCCTCCCACTTAGAAAAAAAGCCTAGCATACCATACCATGTATTTTTTTTCTTTCTTTACTTATACCTCAGTCAAGTTTGTTCTGTGCTTTTCTTAATTTCGGTTCTTAAGAATTAAATATTAAGCCAAGTGTCAAACATTAGGCCTAATTAATTGTTACGAATCACAATTGCAACAAAAGAAAATGGCAATACCTTGATCTAATGCTGTTTTGTTTATCATAGTACCATTTACCAATATATTGAAATCCAAACCATCATCAGTCAACCGCATCTCAACCTATTAGAAGACAATAGCAAAGAACTTAAATAGCAAAACTATAGGGAAAATTTCCCGCCGATAGATAAACACGAACGGTACTGGGTGAAGACAACTGGATTTCTTGCTTCGAACAAGGTATCCATCCGTAAAAGTCATATGAAGATAAGCCTATCTGAGAGTGGCTGTAGGGTGGTCGAGACCAGGACATACCTTCGACGTTAGATTGACAAAGATTGAAATATGTTAAATATAGACACAATGTATACACAGGCCTAGTTCTAGAGTCCAGTTAAAATATGTAATTATGTATCAAAATGATATATTTATAAAAACGCTAAGCGTAAATATGTATTAAGTAAAATAAATTAAATTTAGGATAGGATTCGAAAGAAGACTAGGAAAGAAATTTGAAGCGGCTGAATTATTTACCGAAAATAAACTATAATAATCATTTTGTCATTATTGCATCACGTTTTTGGGAAAATTTGATGGCATTAATCGTCAGGTCAAGGTGCTGGCAGCCTACACGTTTCATATATTCTGCTATTAATTATCTTTGACAATAGGCAAACACTTTTCCAACTACAAAACATTTGCACAATAATCATTAATTAAAAACATATGTACAATTTACTGAATGTACACATACAGTACATCTAGGGTTGTTGAATGTAAAATCTGTAGATGTTTTAATATATATGTTTGTGATTTACTGTCGATAATATAAGGTAAAATTAATTACATTTGAATGAAATAATTGGGTTGCCTTTGTAAAGGATGCCAGATTCTTAGCTTTTAATTCTACTGGCATGTAAATTTCACTTAAAGATGGCATGTCTGTGATGCAATGACGTCTAAACTAATCAGCGGAAGTAGAAGAGTCAAAGTCTTAATTAAATATATTAATAACATTTTTCCGCTGTTTCCATTGTTATTAAAAGTCAATGTTTGATAATATATACGGTAAACTTGATAAAACAGAAATTTAAATTAAAACGTCAATTTGTTTACGCAATATTTTACAAAATGATTAGTGAGGGCGCAATCCAATTCATACTGGATCACAAGCAAAAGTTAATTAAATTTTGTTTGCGCCAGTGATTTGACGAGACTCACCTTTGTGCCATTATCAATTGCTCCGACAAATGCGGAGAAAATTGTTGCATTAATACTACTTGTCTGCAAAACCGGCTTTTGCATTCTGCACTGTACAACAAAGCGACTGTCGTCGTCTAATGCCACTTCCTCCAGAATAAATTCACCAAGACCATTAAATGTGTATGGATAATTATCTAACGTTGTCATATGAGGATCTCCAAACATCCAGCCTAATAAAGCAATACCAAAATAATAATTAGATATTTAGTTTTTCCTAATTACATAGAAGCATCAATGCTCTATATCCAGGTCTTCTGATAAGACTCTAAAAAAGAGGGATTTTGGTTGTAAAAACTCACAAATCAAGTTTTTAAAAGTAATTAATAATAATTAAATACAATATTTATCCTATTTATCTTTTTTTTTATCATACTAAATCTATAAATCCAACATTATCTTGGATTAATATTCTATTTCATCCCATTCAACACCACGAATACCAATAACATAATGTATAATAATTATTATTAATATATATCTATATATACATATATACATACACATATACAAGCTTGGAAGGTGTTGGTCTGAAATATACAATATGAAGTACAGTAACTGTCTCTTATACACATCTAGATGTGTATAAGAGACAGTATATAAGGTATCAAGATCGTATCGTCTGGAGTAGAGTGCTCGACACCAGGGTAGAGCTAAATGAATTAATATCCACAAACCATATATATTAAATCAATCTACCATCTAGATGACAGGCCCCTTTTAATCTGCTTTTCAATGATAACAGCAATAACACATTAAAACCATGTATGCACTATCAAATTTTATATGACAAATAATTGTGATATGCGCATATTTATGTGGAATGTGAAATTGTAATGCCTATATATGGGCATATCACACAAAGTCATGTAAAATGTGATATTGTGGAGAAAGCTTAGGCCTATCATGGAGAAAATAAAATATTTTATTTTCTCCATGGGCCTATACTGCAAAGATTTTAAAATAGACTAGACATTCTAATCGTCAGAAAATATATGTTACTTTTTAGTTGCAGAAACTGATTTTGAGTCATAGTCATTTGGCAAAAACACAGTCCAAGATAATAAAATAACTCCAAATAATTATAGGTTTTTCATTTAGCATGATTACCGGTAAATGGAGGTCGATAACGACGACAGGAACCAACAGGTCGTTTCTCTTGAAATAAGTCACAGAAGTAAGGGTCTTGAGATGCAGAACAACAGAAATATTGTGGCGCAATATCTTCATCTATTGATGAATACAAAAACAACAATAATACTATTAACAACAATCATAATACTACAAGGTCAAAGATAAAATTAATTATTAATTATTTTAATTAATTCTCACTTAATTCAATTAATAATAATAACATTAATAATAGCAATACTAAAAAGAAAATATAACAACAAACCACCATCATCAAGAAAGGTACATGTGGTATTTTAATTATTGGTAAACGGTTTTAATTGGATATTAAAAATTGGTTGATGGGTTCCTGAAACGTTGGTGAGACTTTTGAAACTAAGTTTTGGATTTGATTAAAATGTTCAAAAATTATGATCGAAATGTTGAAGATAAATAAGCAACAGTTTAAGTTTTTTAGTGCAAAATGGTAATTTATTAGTTTAGTTTACTATGAATACTTACTGAACCACTGCCAAAAATCAGTATTAATATGGTATCGTTCCACAAAACTACTTCTCCAGAACTGTTCATATCCTACGATAAGAGACCCACGCCTACGGTAGCAGCATCGTACACCTGCTCCTCTCCTTGATGGTGTTGACGTATGTACACATCTTGATTGTCCTGTAAATAAAATTTATAAAAATGTAATTTTTTTCAAACATTTAACCATTAATATAGATATAAATGTTATAAAGTCAAAAACGGTAACAAATGTAAATACTAATATGCAATAATTTGCTTGTTTTTGTGGGTGCTGTTAGAAAGTAGAAGCTAAAGGGGTGAGAATTAATAAATAGAAATTTTCCAAATGAAAATGGTAGTAGTGATTGTATAGGGTTTTATATTCCTATTGTGTTTATATATTTGTTCAGTGTTCTTGTTGAAATATGTGTTTTTATGTATGTTACTTTTAAGCACATATTTCACTATGTATTTGATGCAATCAGCTGCCACATCAAATACTGGTGAATAAAGTTTTAAAAAAAAAAAAAGAAAGGCTCTTCTCAATTGCTATGGATATCACTATTCATAAAATTCCTCTTATTATTATGATACTTCGGACACGCTGGCATCAATCTTTCAGTATATCATATCCAACGGCTATTACATACGGCAGATTTATACCTGCATACATTCATTCCATTCATTACATAAGCGTACTACGTCGCCAGTTTTACTGTTCACCTATACCAATCTTTCCTTGTTATTCACTAATTAAAATTTAAGATTCTTAATCTCTGCCTTCTGTGTCATTCATGGCTAGCCAAGCCAAATACTGTGTGTAGGCTGTTCTCGGTGGATGTATTCAAGAAGTAAGTACTACATTTTATTGGATAAATCTAAGGGTGAAAAATATGGAGGCTTTTTGCTCCTGGATACAAGTTGTCAAACATTAATTTTTTACCATGAGTACAGTCTATCATTACTTATAATACTGTAGGTCTAAGCTTCTACTAGCCTTCTCTTTTAACACTACAACGACCACCACACTACTCATTGTGGTAATAGAGTAGTAATAATAAAAGCAATTTAGAATATTTACCTCCTAAGCCGTTAATTACACTAAGCAGTTCATTTTCAATTTCATTTCTTTGATTTGAATCATCTTCCTGTTGCATAAAATTAGCTGTATTTTGAGGACTACGCCCATTGCTATAGCGACCATCAGACCTTGCTTGTCCAAACCAACAAGGGCACACTGATCGTCCATCATCCCAAGTTCTTGGATTAGGTTGTCGGTTATACCATGTCAAACATTGTTGCTTAGAGTTGAAAGTCCATGGATAGTTCCTCTCAATCCGATAGATCCACTTGGCATTCTTGCCAGTGTTGCCAATAAACTGATCCGGTCGATACCGGCTGAATACATCCGGGAAATCAAACTGGGTATTAACATGTGCATTCTCATTATTGAAAACGGTATTGAAACCGATTATTACATCCTTTTGTTGTAAAAGGTTCGGATTCCATTTCATCTCACCGATTTTGTAGTTAAATATCACAAATGAGAAAGTACCATCAGTCATCAATGCAGCTTGGAAGGTGTTGGTCTGAAATATACAATATGAAGTACAGTAACTATTCATTTAAATTACCGTATCAAAAAGCAACAAAAAAAAAACTAAATATGCGTAACTACAAACAAATCTAAGTAGTGTCTGTTAATTCTATAATAAATATATTTCGTATTGTTGAACATAGTGTAAAACATTTGTTTTCTTGTTATTTTATTTTAACTAATTAATAATTAATAATTTATTATAGTACTTACATTGTCTGGGTTACTCACTGCTGGAGACTGGGGTATGTCCACCCAAGTTATCAAAAGCATCCAATCAGCTTCGAAATTTTCTTTGACAAAATCATTGTCTTCTGATACATTTGAAGTATGAACACACATCGATGCTGTTTCAAGCATAATCTCTGTTTTATCGGTTGGGTTATCAGCATCGTATACCTAAAGAACAAATGTGTTTCACATATTTATAAGCAATAATAAATGGTAGTGCAGTCTAAGTTACAGCATCTTAGACCCTAAATTACCAAACAGCATTGTTGTTTGTAGTAGTCTATTATGTGAAATGCCTGAATAAACTAAAATACGCCAGTTTCCATTATGAAAACAATGAGTACTTCTTCCGCGCATATTTATTATGAAATGTTTCATAAAAAGCTTACATACACAAAGCGTCTGGTGCATCTATTAACACCACCAGTACCATTATTTTATTCTTTTTGTTTCTTAATCAGTATTTATGGCATTGAATACATATTGTAAAATCCATGTGTTCTTAGACAGAGACAATATGATAAGTGATTGTAGAAAAACAAGACCTTGTATTTAATATATTTACTTTAATTTCCATCCGGCAGCAAGTACTTTCACAGGATGGATCTAGTACAAGATGGTCTATAAACAAAGTTTTAATGTAAGGCTAAGAGCTAACTTATTTCATCCTGCAATTTCACAGGGTATGAACTAAAGAATCATATGGTTGGAAAATAAAACATGAACATTCTTTTCCCTACACAATGTCATATATATTTAGTATAAAAAATGACAAAGATATGGGTTAATATATAACACAGAATATACGACACAATTAAAGGGACACTAACAAATACTTCTCAATATAAACCTCATTTATCACGTAATAGCACTTAGTATGAACGAATATCTTGTGCATGTTTTTTGTTACTGATGTTATCATTCTCCATCGGATATACTGACAATGATCAATAGTAAAACTTTTAAAATGGAAAGCTTACCTGATAGTACACTTCACCATCCAGTAAGTTGTTGTCTGCATCCGCCCAGAAAGGTGCAATAACTTGTATATCAGTGAATGAATTGAATCCACCACTTATAGGGTGGGGAAATGAATATTTTATATCATTTGTTCTTGCAAATATTATCAAACCATTCTCTGTGAACTGAAACAAACACGAAATACTATATTAAAAACAGTACAAAATTTGTCCAATCTGAATCTGTACGATTTGCAAAAAAAAACCTATTATAATAATAGCATAAAAAAAGCCACTCCAATCATACCTATTGCATCCCCTCGCATGCAATATAGGTAATTTAAGGAAGTAAATATCTTACACCTCCATATATAATTCGATCCATCAATTTTAAATAAAATGGTCTCTATTTAGGCTCCGAAGCTTAAGATGTTAAGGTGATTTTTTTTTCCAGGACATTTTTTTGGCATAAAATAATAATAATAATAATAATAATAATAATACATTTATAGAGCGCATAATGCAAAAGCTTATCTGCGCTTCACATACAAAAAAAACATTTATTAAAATGAGGAAAATAAAACTGGCTCAACAAAAATGCAAAATCTTGAAGGGGTCACCATCCCACTCCACTCTAGCGTAATCCCAGACTCCTACCCAGGTGGCTTGAGGAAAGGAACAGGATAAACATTTGCCCTACCAAAGATGACCGGTGCTTAGAAATGGTGACCAAAGTAGAGCCCCAAAAAGAAGATGCAAGCCAGTCTACTGTATGTTGGAAAAAGATAAGTTTTAAATGATTTTTTTGAAAATAGATAAATTACATGATTGTTCAATGTGTTCTGGAAGATTGTCCCAGAGTTGAGATAATGAAAATGATAATGATTTATCACTATAAAATGCTGTTCTCGTCATAGAGACGACGATTCTTGATTGTGAAGATGATCTTAATCTACATGTGAGGTGATGTATTGTAATTGATTTTCTGATGTAAGCTGGGACCTAGGTGTTTATAGCAGGAAGATGAGCCGTTTCTTTATGGATAGCCTGTGGAGATTGTTAAGGATAGGTGTAAAGTACTGGTTTCTGGTTGTTAAGTGAGCTGCAATGTTTTGAATCCTTTGAATTTTAGACAGTTCTGTATTTGGAAGACTATATAAAACTCTATTGCAGAAGTCAAGGCCGGATGTAACAAATGTGTGGACCAGTATGTGAGTAGTATCCAGGAAATTTATGATGTCAATTTTGCGTATGCCAATATACGCTACCCGACAGACATTACGGACTTGTTGTTTTTGCAGCATCTTAGTGTCGAAAATAACACCTAAGTTCTTGACTTCTATAGATTTTATGTCAACTGAAATGTTATAATTTTCAATTGATTCTCAAGTAACAAGACATAAAATGAATAACTTATGTTTTTTATTCATTTAGAAAGAGATGGTTATTGGCAGCCCATATTTGGACGCCACTGATGCGTTTGAGCAGATACCATATCCAATTTATCAAAGGTGCAATAAAACTTGAATATAACAATAATACAAACTGACATATTATATCTGTTTTTAAAACAGAACATAGGGCTCTTTTCCTCATTGCCATAATGAGAAGTGATGTTGAAACTACAAAAAAAAAAACTCATTAAAAAATCTAGCGTAAAATAACACAAGAAAAACAAATATGAAATCGTACACAGAATTATGAAGAAAATTATGAAGTTAAAAAAAAACATGAAAATCAACTAGACGTCAGGGAAACTCAATATATTTTTGTCTGGGAGGTTAGCAATTTAAATGACTGTGATCTGGGACGTCCTTCGAATGATGCTCATATCCATACCCTACTCCGGATCATCACCAACATGTAATCATTTCTTTATTGGACCATAAAAAAATTATTATAGAAAGCTTCTTTTAGATCCATTGATAAGATCCAAGCATGGAAAGTGATCAAAGTTCCGGCAGAAAAACCCTGTGCAAAAAGATAGGAAAAACTATACGCAAGAAGAAAAAAAAAAAATCAACAATGACTTTTCCTGTTACTGCTAGGAAAAGCCAATAACAATAATAATTGCCATCTGGTGTTAAAATACACAAATCAATCGTGATGTTGGTAATCTATGAGTGAGATACTTACCTGGATAACCGACTAATTGCCATTGTTCCCAAAACGGAACACCCCTTCGAAAAAAAATGGAACAGTCCGACCCAAGGCGCCACGTGCGAACCGTCTCCCTAACAAACG